GTTTAATTGAAAAACTACCCAACTCGATTTTTTTAAAAAAGTTCGTCGTACCAAACAAAACTTATTTGAATACATGGAGTTTATAAACTAATCAAATAAGTTATAAACTAGTTTATATCTACTTACCAAACATATCCTTAATTTTATTGTATATCAACACAAATCTTCATAAATATTATTATATTATTGCTTATCATTATTCAATTTTTTTTTCCATACTTCAATTATATTTTATATTTCTTCCGTTTTTATTATTCTCATTACATTCTTTGTTTTCTTAAACTACAATTGAAAGAATAGTCTAAAATGATATTAAACTAAAAACTTATGCATACTTTTATATTGAAATATAGTATTTTAAAAGATAATATAATTTAACATCAATATTTATCGACAGTGGCTTCTTCTCCAAGATTAGGAGATATTGAAATCACATAATAAACATCAATTGTAAAATAAATAAATTAAGAGTACATTGACTAAAAACTTTAATGATTTTCTATATAGTGACATTAATAAATGGTGAGGAGTGACTTCACGTGGGCTTCTAGAAGTGAGAAAGTATGGCAAATACATAGCCTAATATTTTTGTCACGTTCTACTAAATAAAATAAGATTTATGTCTAATACAATCTAAGCATAGGCCAATACACATATTATACTATTTGAATAAAAAAATCATATTTATACTATTTAAAATATAACTATCTAATTGTTAAATCGGTTTATAAAATGCATACTATTTTAGCAATTTTGATTTTAAAGTTTAATTGAATATCTTCAACCGGAGATTCTTCATTATTTTAAACAATATTAGTTTTGCTAGGGAGTAATCGGATGAGTCCAACTTATGGACCCGTCTATAGTTATTGATAAATGATGTATTGTCACGTGTCCTGTAATAAATAATATTAGACACGTGTAGATACATAAATATGTAAATGATCCATAAAATTTCTGTAAACAACATTTGAAACTAGAGAAAGTCATTTCATGAAATTATGTCAAACAGAAGCTTGGGGAACAAGAACGCATATAATAATTCATTACTTGGTTGACATGCAACTATAATTAATTAATCAACTAATATACGACATAGTTTTATATTTATATGTTTTTCTTTTGTTTAATTATATATGTGTGTTTGTTAGCCCAAAGAATCATTTTTTTTTTCCTTTCATTTTTATTCTATTTTTTTATATTGGCCAAAAGTTGAAAACACGCAATTATTTATTATTAGAACTGCTAGACAATATACACTCAACTTCTGAAAATCAATAAGCCACTTTAAAAAGACAATTGAAATCTTATTCAAAAAGATTATATATATTATATTTTGAGTCCCTGTGGATGCAGAAAACCTTTGTTGGAAGACTCACCCACCATTGCCAGATGTGCGACTCGGGTCAACCAACGAATTAATCGGGACATAGCTCCGGATAGCATGACTGGCTACCAAAAATAAAAAATTGTGAAATCCAACTGTTAAAAGCCAACCTTGTCTGGGCCAGGCCCAACGGGATTTGGCCTGGGCTTGCTTGGGACAACCTTGTCACTTTGATTTGTGATTTATTTTCTTTTTAATCTTTAAATTACATTATTTTTTAGTTTATGTCTTATTTATTGAATGTTTAAATATTATTTTATTTTGAATTTGATATTTTTGCAAAAGTTAAAAAGTAAAAATGTAAGAGTTGTAAGTTAGCAATTTGATATTAATCTCTTAGTTTATTCAGTAAAGGCTTTCTCATTAGATTTAAAAATGATAAAATTTTTGTAAATAGTTACTATTCATTTCATTTAATTGTTTCTCTAAAACTCCATTATCAATATTTAAAAACTTTTATCAACTCAATAGTTCTACTTATCAGTCCTATTAATTAATACTTTATTATCTTTCTATCACATCAATTTTAATTCCTCTAATTTTATTTTATATTTATTTACAATTTCGATTTCATCTCCTTTTTTTTGGTTCATCTAATTTTTCACGTGACATAAAATTTATGGAAAAAAGTTATATGTGTAAAAAAAAAATATCTTGCCTTTTATTTTCCCCACACGTGCGTGAACTAATTAAAAAAAAAATAAAAAAATAATCAAAATCATAAAATATCTTTATTTTTATTAGCAGAAAAATGAACTTACATTACACCATTTGTTTTCAGTTTCGGGTTAGCCAAGTTTCCACGAGTCTCATTTGTGTAGTGTACTGTGTCGATCAAGTGCATTATTGCCTTGTATAACTGCATTAAAAAAAATATGACGAGTCGATTCGCCGCCTAATTGTTAGAATTTCAATTACCTCATATTATGATAATTGAAATGTCTTTATGTGGCTTGAATTGCTCGTATGTCATCTTTTATAATCTAAACATTCAAAACAGCAAATTTATACGTGGAATCATTTGCATATACATAACATAATCTAAACATTCAAAACAGCAAATTTACAAGTACTTTTTAATAATTTTGTAGATTTCTTGTACCAATGGGCTTTCTAACAGAAATGTGGCCCATCAGCTTTTCGTAGTGGGCCAGTTTCAAAGTAAGCAGCATAGGTGGGCAGATACTTTGGTTGAAAGGTTGAATGCACCTAAATTACCATATTTATTTCATGTTTATTATTCGTTATTTGTTATTTATAATTCCGAATTGAGGATATTATTTTAGTAGTTTTAACAATGCTTTATTTTGATATAAATGTGTAGTTTTATTTTAAATATTACATATTTATTTATTTTATTATATAAATGTATAACACTTGACTTTTAAAAATACTTTTAAAAGTATGCACTGAAAAAAGTGAATTTCATAATTTGGAGATAAAGTACAGGGGTGTACTAATTTGTGATTTCTAGGAAGTTTCTAAGATTTCAGAAATCATTATGTATTTTAATTTAGATTTTGTAAGACTTTCAAAAGTCTTGAGGTATTCATTTGACAATTTAAAATGTCTTTAAAGATCTGGATGTATTTAATTAAGACTATAATTTGTCAAGACTTTTTAAGATTTGTTGAGATTTTTAAATATTAAAACATATACGAAGTTTAATTCACTTCAAATCTCACTTTCAGATTTAAAATTTCACATATTCATTCTAAATCTAAAAATATTACAAAATCTTAAATCTAAAAAGTCTCAAAATATCACTCGAAATCTCAAATAAATACACATAATCAACTTCTAGACTAATGGATTTTAAAGCTTACCAACCAGAAACAATTATCTACTCTTGACATTTTTATTGTGGAGCCAACCTTTTTATATACAATAAGTAAACTATACGATAACAGTTCTTTTTTTTTTCTCGTTTAAAATTTATTCAACATGTATTTTAAAGCTTACCAACCAGAAACAATTATCTACTCTTGACAGTTTTGCTATGAAATCAACAATTGACTCTATAATAGAGTCAACACTCATATACAACAAGTAAACTATACCATCGATTTTTTTTTTTTTTCGGTTTAAATTTTCAACATGTCCATATCCGTGTTTCAATGGTCTAATTCTGTAAATTCATTTCAGTCATTTTCAAACACATGCAATTTGCTAAATTACACGACTTTGAAACTAGAAAATAGTTAAAAGCTCATATACTAAGATTAGAATGTATTAAGACACAAATCAAGAAGGTTATACCGAATTTACTAGGCTTATTATTAACCCTATAAATAATGATTTTTTTTTTTTTCAACTATATTATTCATTCCGTCAAATCAAATTATTTGATTCTTTCTTTTGAACTTCTTTGCACGCTTCAAATCTCTAAATGTTGATTCTTATTTTGAACTAGATTGTGTTGATCAAATTTCTTTCTAGGTCTATCATTATGTTTTTGCACATATGTATAGCTTGATAGTCAAATAATACATTGTATAGAACAATTTAAGAAAAGATATGACATTCAATAATATAATTGTAGGGAGATGCTGTGGTTCCGTTATGAAATCATTACGTCGGGGTTGTATCGTTAGATCAACTATCCCTGACCGTTACATGATGATCCAACAGTTACAAATCATGACGGAATAGTTCTGTAACGAGATCGTTGCATTTCTTATATTACTGTTTAAGAATTAACACAAATCAACGAGACTATCAACACATAACAACATCATAGACACATATGTATGTATGTATGTATATATCAAGAATAATAAATTAGCATTTGAAATTCTCGCAAAATAATCTTTTGATGTACATATTTGAATATCACAAATTTGATCTACAGGTTAATTAATTGATATACATAAATTAAGTTTATAAAAACCTTTATATGGGAATTTAGAGAAATGCTAGAGTCTCCTTACGGAATTATTCTATCAGAATTTGTAACGATTAGATCATCATTTAATCGTCGTGGATAGTTGATCTAAGGGCAAAATCGGACGGAATGAAGAATTTATCAGGAATTTATTAGTCATTTTCGAGCCGAGCGAGCGCCGAGCCATTCAGGTCCACGAAGTCAGCGTCAAAGGCTGTGAGGCTAATAGCACACGAGCCTAAACTTTATTATATTCACAACCTCTCATTTTCAGAGCTCTATTTAATTAACACACTCGCGGCTCCCCTAAAATAAATCCACCAAAAATTGAAAAAAATAAAATAAAATAAAAATCCATTTTCATTAGCTGGTTTGACTGGTTAACAATGGGCATATTGGTGTTGGAGGAGACTAACAAGGCGGAGCTCGAGGAATTCCGGCGGATGCTGCTGTTCCGCGCGGCGGTGCACCGGCGGAAGGACGATG